AACACATATTTTGAGTACTTCATAGAAGCAGAGAATCATTATGGTTGGAAAAGACCTTCAGGATCATCGAGTCCAACCGCCCAGCTTGGTGCACGTGAAGGTACGACACGTCACACCGCACACCTCTCTGTGGCTTCCTACCTTGCTTGAGGCACAGGCAGCCTACGGCAGAGAGGACCTCTGCAGCTAACCTGAGGCTTTTCGGTGAAGCATTTCCTTCTGGATCACTTCTCTGCTCTGTCCAGTCCTATTCTTAGTTTACAAAGCAGTGCACAGACACAACCTAAGAGCCTGATCCTGCGGTAGCAGTTGCACTTGCTCCGTTCATAAAAGGCACTGGGTAACTCCCCTGGTCACCTAGCAAAGTTTCGGTGACGAGCGGGTGATGTGCTGGAAGACACCAGAGATGTCCTGGAGGTGGTGAAGAAAGAGAAAAACAGTCTCTGGATGCTGTCAAAACTTGGAATCAAGCGGAACAAGATGAGCCTGGAACTAAACTGCTGCATTTCTTTTCACCAGGCGAAGGAGGAGGAGGGTACACAGCAATATGTGGAGTTGGCTTGTCGCCATTCCCACCTGGGAGTGGATGTGGGGCTCTGCTAAATGCAAGGGTGGCCCTGGGCGTGGGAGTGTGGAAAAGCAAACATATCTGTGGACAAGTGACTGGGCACCAATGCACACTGGACGGTGTCCGTAACAGAGAGAGTGCTCTGAAGGAGAGGATAAAGGAAAACAAAATGAACGGGAACAGGAACAGGAGGAGCAGGAAGTGGAAAGCTAGTATTGACTGGTGGAGTCAATCCAGTGGTGGAGAAAGGCACACTAGGATACATACTGTGGAGGAAGAAAAGTGTTTTTGGATACAAATACGGAAGTAAAACACGGAGGACTTAAAATGGCAGGAAGGCGTTATGGAGAGAATAGAAAAATGCAGACTAAGACAACCGGAGGAGACAACACATTAAATTAGTATCACAATAGTTGGTTGCACTTGAAGACATACCCATAGACATACGTACAGTGTGGATGGAGACACTCTCTCAAGGGCTGGAAAGGGCTTTCCCTGACACTCTTGGCCTATGCAGATGCTTCCACACAGGAAAAAGTAGAAATTTGGAAATACCAAAGTGCACACACTTTCTCAAAAGAAACATTCATGGGAAGACTGGGTCTACAGAAGGACCAGGGTAAAGAAAAGAATAAAATTCCCTGCCACCCTATCTTACTCATGCAAATTAATGCTGAAATTTGGTCGCTGGACGAAAGTTAAAGAAACCCAATGCCTTCCAAAGGTGTTAAAACATATGCTGCCTTATATTCAGAAAAAAAGTAGCCGCAAGAACTGTGTGGTTGAACAGTGCAGCAATCACGCCGTCATTGAGCTCACGGTATGGCAAAAAACTGTTTAATTTCAAAGAATTTTCATCCTCTAAGCAGAAAAGTATTCTTTAAATGTTTTAAATAAATATATAAGCATCTCTTGCTTATTGAGGATTTTAAATACTATTCTTCCTGCCCTCCTAAAGAAAAAAAATATGTAAAAAGCTTTTGTCTAAAGTTCAAAGACTAGAAAGAGCCACAGTCATAGTCATTAGGAAAACAAGTAAGGGATCTTTGAGCATGTAAAAATATACTGTATATTAAACATATGCTTGAGAGAATATTTAGGTGTTGTACATCAAAAAGTCAAAATGAGCTAGATGCTGAATGTGTCTTTACTCAAAAATTAATGTTGCAGTGTCAGTGTTGTGCATTTCGCTATTTCTCATAGAAAGGCACATTAAAGAAGAGGCTACTAAAATCCAAGAACAGATGAACAATCTAAGAACTGAATATGCATTCCCTGATTCTAACACTGCTTGTTTTCACATCCTTTACACAGCAGTAAAATATAGATGTAGTTACCATTCCTATTTTCTCACTGGCAACGCACATGGAGTACAAGAAGGGACAAACAGATCCTCTAAGTTCACAGAACAGCAGGAAAAGCTTTATGTATTAGATGAACTGTAAATTTACTTAAAGAACAAAAAAAACAGCAGTGTTTTGTTTCCCAAAGTTCAAGAAGTCTTCTCTATCTTGGCTGAACTCAGAAGTGCATTTTATTAAAACCAGAAAACAAACCTTGATCCATTTCCCTAAATGTTTTCTTAAGTGAAAAAATCCAAGCAAGCTTTCCACCAGGGCTATTTCATTTCAGTGAGTGGCCATACCAAAACGTGACTGCCAGGGCTTTATAATTTGATTTTTTATTCCAGTCACCAGCGTAACAGCTAAAAAAAATTACTGGTTTCAGGGGCTCTTCAAGAGCCCAGTCAGAGTTAGCTTCCCTCCTTGGCTGGCTGAATTCCTTGTGTGACCACTGCCTAATTGGTTTCCTGAAAATTTATTTTAAAAATGTAAAGAAAATGGTTTTGTAAAGAAGGTGGTTTTGATTGCAAGAGGATAAGAGTACCTTCACACCAACAGCTCTGCTGGCAAATCTCACCAGACAGTACTCTGGCAGGAGAAGAAAGATGAAGGAGTGATGGTTCTTGTGGCACAACTGAGATGGAAAAGGATGTGGGACCCAGCTGGACTATGACTACTGAGATGGCTGGTTTTATTAGCCAGATGGTCTTTTTTGGTATAGCTTGAACTTCCAGATATACTGTCATGTTTTTTTTAATATTTACAGGCTGTGAGTAAATGGAAAATATTTCACTGGGGACCGAAAAGCTGTGACTGCTTTGCAGAAAAGTGAGTTTATTCCAATAGAAGACTTATTTCTAAGATGAAAGCTGTGAAATTGTACCTATGAATTTCTACAAAAATCTACTATTGAGACTTAGTGGTCTCTCTCTAATGTCCATGCTCACTCAGAAGATGGGTAATTATCACGAGACTAGGAGGAAGAGGACGTCCCTGAGCAGAATAAATGGGAACTAATCCTTCTGAAAATGAAGATGACATGGAAGAAGAGTGTTCTTCCTTCAGTCTTCAAGAACACTTCCAAAATGCTTTCAAAAAGGCAAAAATGCTTTCCTTGACTAGAATGAAGAGGTGAAATACTTGGACTACTTTCTTGCCGTTTCAGCTGTTCAAAAGATTTCAGAAGGCTTCAAGACTCAGTCAAGCCTTCCCTTCCTTGCACAATTGCAAAAATCAAAGATCCAACTAAACAAACAAACAAACCCAGTTTTTCTAATGACCAAAAATTAATTTGCAACTAATTCCTTCCCCGTCTGCTATTTAGATCAGGTTATTCTGTTCATGTTAAAATGGCTTTGGGTGGAGCTGGGCTCCTACATTGTTGTTCAGTAATCCTATCTCTCTCTCTAAGCATTGTTAATTCTTGCCATTTGTCATGAGCAGAACTGGAGAATATTAAATAAACAAATAAATCACTACTCCACACTCCTAAAAATCTACTCCAAAGAGCAGTGAAAGTTGAGGCACTAGGCAGAACTAGGCAGTTCTTCATGGTCTCTCTATCAAAGATGTGACAGAAGAGGAGAATGACAGGTCTTTCACCTACTGTAGCAAGTCCCTGATGTTGCTGGAACACCCTAGCTAGAGGCACTGGTTAAAAACAGTCCTCTTTCAATATCCTGATGTAGGTCGACATAAAGGAATGTGTTTCTTGTGTAAACGTGATACTGTGTTGCATTATATTGATGGTTGGAAAGCCCAAAACAATACTGTTATTAACTTCTGTGACCGTGATGGAATTAAAAAATTAATAAATTAGTAGCTAATTTAAAGAAATAGTGAGATTTATTATTATTAAACTTTCTCAGTTTCTACTCTTATAAAAGAAATCACTTAATAAAATTGTGCGACAGAGCTTTTTTTCTTTCAGATATCTAAGTGAAGTAACTCACATAATTTAAACAATGAGTTATTTGACACTCAGTTTCATTTTAAGCTAGTATCTTCTCCCTCACAAAGCTGTTTCAAGATATCTTAAGTTCTAATACTATGGTTTCACTGGTGTTTGAACATAGAGCTTTCATATACTGTACTTACTGTGTAACAATGCAGCAGAAAGTGCAGCAAAAAGATAAAAATAGTCTAATGACATCTAATTAAATGTAGAAGTGGAAACAGGTTATTAGTGTATGACACTTAGTGCTACTGTGTAAGACAATGTCCTTCTAGGCAACTGATGAGTTAGAAAGGGTCAAACAGCAAAAACATACAGAAAGGATAAGAGAATTGAACACTCTAGAGAATTTAGTGAGAAGACACACAGTACAGTACATTTGGTAAGAGTGAATGTTGAAAAACAGGACTGAACAGCATTGTTGAACTACATTGATAAAGACTAAAACTAGATTTCTTATCCTTTCTTTTGGTATGTGAGTTACGGAGTTTTCCAGCAGTGCTTGAAACAAGGCATTGAACAACAGTAAACAGATTTTTTTAGTACAGTATTTAATTCTGCAAACACGTCTGCTGCTTCAGAATACAGAACATCATTCTGTTGATACGACAACAGCACACTGACACGTTGTGATGGGGTTTGGCTGCTGTATCGTGAAACACTCATACTGACAGTTTGCCCAGTGAGCAAAGTGTTTCACTGCTAGAGGACACACGTGGTGAACCAGTGCAAACTGCAGCTGCAGAAACCTGCCTGACCTAAGGCTAAGAAACCCAGTGCTCTGTCGGCTAATGTAACTTCCATCATTAGCTGACTTTCAAAGGAGCTCCAGCTTCCTGTTCTCTCAGCTCAGCACTAACCGAAAATGTATTTTTACATGCGTCTCTGAAAACTTCCACTTCACTCTTGAAAACTGAAGCCTACTTAATGCAACTCTGGCAGCAATCAACTTTAATTGCATGCACTAGTATGTTTTATATTACGAGGGATGAAGTCTAGCAGTCAGTTTTGCAGTTTTCTGGTTTTATTTTCCTTTTTTTTTAAATAGAAACAGAGACTCTCACTACTGGCACTACTCATCTGCAGTTTGCATGGTTCTTGATTTAGGAATAAATGACTGCAGTCAAACTCTTACCTCCTCATACACTCCAGAGCCTGGGTGAAGACCTGGGGAGCCATACCATGTTCATGCTGTAGGATCAAACACTGCTCTAGGGTGACGGACATGGCTGTCCTGTCCTTGGCACTTTTACAGCTTGTAAAACGAACACCGTTCAGTCTGCGGCACACCTGGAAACGGGACAGACAATCCATCATTCCTTCCTCACGCATAACCCCCTGGCAGAGCACACACCTGCACGCCTCTTCCCTGGAGAGACACAAATGTTGTGTAGGGCTCTGATGTCAGAAGTTGTCAACCTGGGGACAGCAGCACTTCATTGCAGCGGTTGTTGTGGGGAAAACGCTGATTTGAAAAATGCATTTTCTTTCATTTTATCTTCCCAGCCAATAAGATCAAACTAAAAGTCTTTACAGTATTTATGAGGTAATGCTCTCACCTTGGAGAAGGTTTACCCTGGCAGTATTTCCAGGATGTAGGGAAAAAAATCTTGAAAACATGAGTTTCCCTTTAAAAAGGGAAAATGCAGCACATTTATAAATACAGAAGACTGACTGAACTATGCAATGGTGCTTTGATTAATAAATACCTCAGCAGCTTGCCAAAGGATATCAACATTCTTATTTTTCCTTGCATGTACATTTTGTCCCAAAAATCTTAACAGTTCAGGCAGGCATGTCTGACTACGAGATCGAGGTAGACCTATAAAAACAAACAAAACCAAGACCAATTATTTATTAGTATTCAACACTTTCATAAAAATATGCTGCAAGAAATGTGTTCCTATCTACTATTTGGAAACAATGACATTTAGCTTAAAAACAGCTAATTCTAACTCAAGTTTTACTAAACTCAATTGGAAATGTGCATCCAGGGTAGTTAAACCTTCAGGGGCTCTGAGAGCTCTAGAGTAACACAGGGAATAGAGAGAGCAAGACTGGTTTAATAACGCCACAGGCACCCTTGTATTCACACACATTGGAACGTTATGGGAACATCTAGCTGCCCATATTATTCGCCTCCCAAGTGATAGGACTTCATTCAGGTCTCCACAGAAACTCTTAAGATACCATTTTATACGCTCACATTTTCAACCTCGAATTTGCAAGCTGGCCAGTCCTCAGTTACAAGCAGCACTCTCTCCAACAGGCCCCTGCACTGCTGCTCTTTATCAATATTTCATTAAGCAGAAAAAAATTATTTGAAGGAATTTAAAAGTTTTTTTTTTTCCCCCAAAAGCCCTCAGCAGTCATCTAATCCTCATGTGTTCAAAGGGTTACATGGCATCTCTTTCACATGCACCAAAGTGCTCAGTACCAGGTACTGAACAGGCCCTTATTTTTTTTAAAGGAGATGACTACAGAGGGTATCACCTAAAGCAGCGGGTGGATAAATAAGGTGGTATGGACTGTTAAAAAGAGACTGTGATAGGAGAAGAAAAAAAAAAGGCATGATCTGCAGGCTTTTATTTTTGGACTGTATCTCTTCTCACAGCAAATAATATGTGAGCAAAATTTTGCCTAGCCTAGGTGGCTTGAACTCTACACCTACAGAAAAAATAATGCCTGCAACAGAAATATCAAATCATCTCAAATATTTCTGAAGACAAGCAGATATAGTGGAACATTGTATCTTGTCTTAGCCGCAGGCAGTAACTCACTTTGAAATCCTGCAGGGCGGAGAGTTGAGAGCGCAACGCTTTCAGAGAAAGGACAGTAGGTCAGATATCAGCTTTCCCTGTCTCTTTTTCATGGAGGAAACATTTTCTACAAGCTGCCAGCCAATACCTCACTGGCCTCTTGCTGCTTAGAGTGACCCATTTTGTCTTTTCAGGCCAAGTAGGTCCCAGACTGAAAGTAAGTACATGAATGCCTTTCGCCTGTGTTTGGGCTATACCTCTGGCTGATCATACCAACCACCTTCTTTACAGTTAAAGAAAACATTATTCTGCATGTTCATGGAAATTGTTTCACTTTGTACTTCTTAAAAATTGCCACAGAAAAGGTACAAAATGTACCTACCCTCAGACCTGCCTTATGATAAGCACAGCCCCAGGCTTGTCCAGCTGGAAACAAGGGGGTAAGGGCAAGGTGGACACAAGATTCTCTTGTTTTACCACGAAACTGCCTGATAGCTTGACCTGCCCAATTCTGCACTGTATTCTTATGCAGAACTTCAAGTTACTTGAAGAAAAGCCTCTGGTATAAGGAGTACGTGATACTGGCAAAAGAGAAGCTCAAAGTAGTGGCAGCAGAGCTCTTCGAAAGTAGAGGAGGACAACTACAAAGCTCAAATAGAGTTCAAAAAAGTCATGAAGGCAGAAATGAAGACAGAAGAAACAAATGACAGGACAGAAAACAGAAACAGACTGTAAGGTTAAAAAAAAAACTCAAGGGAAAAGGCAAAAGTTAACAAGACTAGATGAAAATAAGAGGCTAAGAGTTGAGGGAAGAGACTGCAATAACAAAAGAAGAAAAGACAAAGATGGGAAAATAGAAAGCAACTAAACAGGAAGTATTATGTAGGTCTACATGGACAGAGAGACAATGAAGGAACAGTGAGAACAGCAGAACGAAACAAAAAAAAATGCTGTAAATTGATTAACTTTTGAAGGTTACAAGAAAGTCTGATGCCAGACTACTAAGTAATAAAAAACTGTTAAATTTTTGCAGCTAAAATTTCAGACAAGGAATTGTGGATAGTCAAGGCCTCGTAGGAGGAAGATAAGTTCTGCTCTCAGTTGCAGCAAAAAAATCCAGGATAACTGGAAGTGTAACGACACATCTCCCCCAAAGGGCCCCAGAGAGCGTTCTGCCTGACAGCTCGGTCCCACTGCATGCTGCTGCATTTGTATTTCTCCAACAGAACTGCAACTTTGGAACCCATAAATTTAGCTTACAAGAAGAGATTGATACTAATAATAATGAATTTATGCAGTCTAAACATTTTTTGTGGTCACATGCAATGCATTTATGCCACTGTTTCAAGAGTAAACATGAAGGAGTAAAAACTTTCCATAAAAACACTAAAATTCAGACCTGCAGCTTTTGTAGCTTTTCCAGATACTTGTCTTCTCGGCTGCAGATGCTACAGTTTGACAGAAGCTTCAAAAGAAAAGCAGAAGCTCTTACAAAATGGCATTTGCTCTCTGTACAGGTCACCACAAGCACAGAGACCAGTACCAAAAAATGGAGGTGAAAGTGCTGTTGTTACAGCCAGTCACTGTTATGTCTTCAGTAACTGCCTAGCTGCCCGTTTATACAGTATATAGAACCTCTTAGCAAAAGATGCAAGAGTAAATTAAAAAAAAAAAAAAAAAGATCATCAGAACAAGACTTAAACCAACTTGAACCTGCTCTACTTAGTACTAATGTGTGAAAATAGAGCTGCATCAGTTCTTGGAGTCACTATACTGGCTTATCATCAACATTTTAGTAATTCACTTGAAGCAAACAAACAAACAAAATATCAGCCTGCATTGCTCTTCAACCAAATTTGCGATTAGTTACTGAATACTTACAATCATCAGGCAAAACTTCTTTGAACTGTTCAAAATATGAATTCAACCGGACTAAACTTTCCATGTTAATTACTTCTTGCAGCGACGTGTCTCCAAACCTTTAAAAGGTAAGGAAGGGAACAGTTAAGGCCAAGGTAGTCTTTCCCATTTTCTTAGAAACAACTTAACCCGGCAATATGACTACCAGAACACAGTTTAAAGATTCATCTCACGAAATCCTTAAACATTCAAATGCAGAAGAAAGTGTAACAGAAAAGAGTTGTGGTAAATCATTCTGGAAAAAGAAGCTGCGTGAGTGTGCGAACAGTGAAAAGGCAGAAAGGAAAATCTTACAGAAATTAGTACTTGAAGTACTTTTTTTTCTGTATCTTTCTATCAATATTAAATTTCATCTATTTGGCATTTGCAAAAATTCAAATTTTTAAGAGTAGAAGTGCTGGATCCATTTGTTGGCAAGTAACAAGCAGAACACCAGTAGGCAGGATCAAGAACTTTGATTTCAGACACGTGAATAAGAAAAGCGGGTCTAGGAAGGATAAAACATCAACATAAGTATCGTCAGCAATGCTATGATTCAACTCATATAAGAACATTTGTCTCTTACAGACAATAGAGAAAAACATGAACTCCTGCAACACCCTTGTTTTGATACCCATCATTTTAGATGACTACACACTCCAGCCAGATAGCAAGGCTGGTGCCCCAACACTTCGGGCTTCCCTGGAGTTCTCCAGGACAGCGGCAGTCTGCCACTGTATTCCTTACAGGCAGGATAAAGCCATAACAGAGGGAAGCTCTCGTAGCTCTCCTGGAACTGAACAGCTTCACTAACAAGTATAATTGTATAATTACATTTTTCAGCTTTACAGTTGCATTACATCAGTACTGCAACTGCGGGCTAAACTGAAGGAAGGTCCATGTAACCCAGCAGATTGTGACAGCCTAGGGAAGAGCACAAACCCAAGAGGGCAAAGATACAGTGGTGTTAAGTAGCCCATGATACATGTCCTCTTCCATAACACCACTTCTGAACCACATAAGCCTTAACTAGGCACAAAGCCATGAGGTACAGAGCTCTACAGATACATGCTGTGTGTAGAGGAATCTCCTTTTGCTTGATTGAAACCTGACAGCTTCATTTGACAGTGCTTGTTCTTGCATTGAGAGAGAAAATGAATCATTTAGTAATGCCACAGTGCAATCTCACAGAGACACTTCCACCAGAACTGAAGGCTGTGGAACTGCCCTTAAGGCTGAGCTTGCACAACTCAATACCTACTTCTCTGCGAGGGTTTGCTGCTCATTGATCCCCACGTTGAAAAGCACAGGCTGCACCCTCAGCAACATCCCGCTCTGAATCTCTCGCGGCAGCAAGTCAAACAAGGCGCTTGGCAAAGGGATCCTCACGTTAAAACCATCGCTGCAAAGAAACAACTATTAGACATGCAGCACAGAAAGCAACACTATGACAATGTGTTTTTTATGATAAAAATATAAAATAAAAATATACGTATAATAAGTATAATAAGTATCAGTCAAAATCCAAGCCTTTAAAGTACTGCCAGAGCTTGATCATCGTCAGAAAATCTATACTAGTTTAAAAACAAACAAGCAACAGCCTACAACGTTCTTTTTATGTCCTCATGGGTGTTTCAATCAGATCTCCCAGTTTCCTGATAAAAGTTGAATTTGCTTTCCCCATTAATGCTCTGCAATGTGATGAGAACAAGCAAATTTTGGTATGCCCCCATCTCATCAAAAGTAGAAGAGTAGGGTTAAAAAACGATAAAAGATTTGAAAGACTAAGATTTTTTTTAAAGAAAGAATAAGATTTAAAAGAAGATTTAAAACAAAAAATAGATGCAAAAGTTTTCAGCATGCATAGGTGATGATGCATGCGCCAGGACGGAAGTGTTTTTGGATACAAGTAGGGCTGGTATTTATGAGCTGAAGGGTAGGGGCAATGACCCACGCATAAATTGAAGAGGGAGCCAACAAAAGTGCTGACCTGGAAACTTGTGGCTCCGACCTACAAACCTGTTCCTGGAGCCCAACAGGTTACCTTGGGTCAGCTGAGCTACAGCAAAGATGTACATGCTCTATCTCATGGCCAATGCAAAGTAATGCAACTTACCTCAACCTGTAACAACACTGCAGACTAAAGTAAATGATACTACTTTACCTCTGCTGCAGGCTGAGGGCTTTCCCAGACATAAGTTATTGTGGTCTGTGTGCTCTGCATTAAGCCACTCGCAGCAGTACCTTGCTGTTATGTTGCAGTCCCTACAATGCGACTTTCCTATGTTCATTTTTCTTCTCACAAGGCACTTAAAAAATCCCTCAAGTACCATACGAGCTCTGAGAGTCATATAGCAATATAATCAAAATTGATCTGTGACCCATTTGCATGGGATGAAGGAAAAATATAGCAGTACATATCTTGCATTATGTCTAAGAGCAAAAACTTGTTTTCACCTCTAAATCTACAGCCTCCGATAGTTTCCACAAAAATAATTATCATTTTTCTTCCTTTCTAGAGTAAAATCTAGAGAGAAAAGTAATAAGTACTATCTCAGCAGCACTTTGGGACCTGAAACTCTGAAACTAATGAAGTCTGGTTTTCTACTGATTTGTATCCTGTACTTGACTGCAAGTGTTATCTAAAGCTTTTCTTTGGAAGGGGTTTTCGGTCAGCTCTCAGCCATGCACAAAAGTCTCAGCAATTGCTGCAACGTGAACATCACATCGCAGCTCTCCTTCAGCCAGGGCACTTCCCATTGCAGCTGAACTTAAAATTAAGTTACTCTGAACATATTTAGCTTTGAGCATTGTAGCTCTTTCCCAAGACGTGGACGAATTGGGGCAGCACTTCAGCGGCGCTTGGCACACTGTGATCCAATAAGCCTTGTTTCCTCAGGAAGTCAGATCTAAAACCCTGGAGGATGTTATGGGAGACGGTGTCGAAAGCCTGGCTGGATGTTGTCTACCTTGATTTCAGCAAGGCTTTTGACACCATCTCTCGTAACATCCTCATAGAAAAGCTCAGGAACTGTGGACTGGAAGAGTGGACAGTGAGGTGGATTGAGGGCTGGCTGGATGGCAGAGCCCAGAGGGTGGTAATAAATGGGGCTGAGTCTAGTTGGAGGCCTGTGGGCAATGGTGTCCCGCAGGAGTCGGTACTGGGCCCGGTGCTCTTCAACTTGTTCATCAATGACTTGGACGAGGGCACAGAGTGCACCCTCAGCAAGTTTGCAGATGACACCAAACTGGGAGGAGTGGCCGACACTCCAGAGGGCTGTGCTGCCATTCAGAGGGACCTAGACAGGCTGGAGAGTTGGGCAGAGAGGAACCTCATGAAGTTCAACAAGGACAAGTGCAGGGTCCTGCACCTGGGAGGAATAACCCCAGGTACCAGTACAGATTAGGGGCTGACCTGCTGGAAAGCAGCTCCGTGGAGGGATTTGTGAGTCCTGGTTGACAACAGGTTAATCATGAGTCAGCAGTGTGCCCTCGTGGCCAAGAAGGCCAATGGGATCCTGGCCTGCATCAGGAGGAGCATTACCAGCAGGTCGAGGGAGGTGATCCTGCCTCTCTACTCAGCTCTGGTGAGGCCTGGAGTACTGGGTGCAGTTCTGGGCTCCCCAGTACAAGAGGGACGTGGAGCTTCTAGAGAGGGTGCAGTCTAGAGCCATTAAGATGATTAAGGGACTGGAGCATCTATCATATGAGGAAAGACTAAGCGAGCTGGGCCTGTTTAGTCTGGAGAAGAGAAGGCTGAGAGGAGATTTGATCAACAGCTTCAAATACCTGAGGGGTGACTGTAGGGAGGATGGGGCCAGGCTCTTCTCGGTGGTGGCCAGTGACAGGACAAGGGGTAATGGTTTAAGATGAAACATAGGAAGTTTAATCTCCATATGAGGAAGAACTACTTTCCTGTGAGGGTGACAGAGCACTGGAACAGGCTGCCCAGGGAGGTTGTGGAGTCTCCTTCTCTGGAGATCTTCAAAACCCACTTGGACGCAGTCCTGTGCCACGTGCTCTAGGTGACTCTGCGTGTGCAGGGGGATTGGACTAGATGATCTCTAGAGGTCCCTTCCAACCTTAACCATTCTGGGATTCTGTGATTCTGTATCTGTCACCCAGAGCTGCCCCAGGGCTGCAGTCTCTCGCAGAGCCTGTCAGCATTAGGCAGAAAGCAGCTGATCGGCAGGCTCACCAGCGGGGCCTGCACACGAGCCCTACTCCATCTGTTGCAAAAGCCTCCCACCACAGTAAAGCTGCACCACGTCCCTCCCACTCTGCTTCACGTGAGGCCTCATGATCGTTCAACACTTCAAACAGACTTAAAAAAAAAAAGCTGGCTTTTAAACTCAAACTTTGAATCCCCCTCTACAAAGAGGTAGCCAAAATGGGGAGCGGCTCGGTGCTTCACAAGCATCCACAAGTTAAATACACAGGTCAGCCCTGATAGTTTAGAAACTGATGCTCAGCAGGCCTTGCCCCAGCGTCGACTAATGCGCTCCATGTCCTGCAGTGCTACCCGTCAGCCAATTGCACACAATAAAGCACTGATCAACTGAGCATCAGGGAACCTCTCAGGTGCGAGATCAGGCTCAAGAGTCAGTCTGGAATGTAAGAACAGCACAGGTCCCCCAGAGCAGAATGAACACTTCTGGTTTATGAATGTGGGATACCTACTCATAAAACCAAACTGCCACAGTTTTAGCTTTTCCATACATCCCTTTTCAGTTTAGCTCCCTGTAAAATGAAACACGGGCAAAAATGAAAATATCAGCTCCAAAATACCTCTCTACAGTTCAGAGGGAAAAAAAAAACAGTGTGACCGAGAAGCACATTATTCACTTGAGTTTCAGGTACGACATCACTGCTTCTCTTTTCTCCAGTCCCACCCTCTTCCCCCACATCCTGCCCCCATTTCTATTTTTACCGATTTCCAGTGATGACTGGCAGCATATCAGTACATGTACTTGACGTGGCCTGAGTTACTTTAAAGGTTACATTCCTTAAGTCCATTATTCCCAAACTCATGTCCTCCAGCATTGCCAGCTCCTCACCTAAATCAAGGGGGAAAAAGACAATCAAAATTATTACAAACAACTTTTCCTTCTCCATCTCCTAGGACTGCAGACCTCTGCTCTCATGAAGGATCTCTGTGGGTGAGAAGGGTATGGAGCCCAGTCCTCTACCTTGATTGGCATCTGCCTCACTGCAGACAGGGTTCTGATTCACTGTGTGCATCACTTCACTTTGTGAAGGGGAGAGAACACCAATTACTTCGCATATCCAACCCTTGCACTTACTATAAGGTAAGTATACTTTATTTTTTTAAAGCCAACTAAATCAGAAGAATTCTGAATTGCTATTTGTTTGCTAATTAACTACTCCAGTTTTGCATTTCTGCTTTCGAAATTGTTTTGTAGCTGAGCTGCAGACCGTCCCATACAGTCATCTTCTGATGCAGCCAATTTAAAGCAGAATTTGGTGACTCACAGCCGCTATCACCCACTTGCTCTGTGTCTTTACCATAAGTGCTCAGCAGGCTCTCAAACTGCGCCAGCAAGCCGATGGTATAGAGTTGCCTCAGAAATCCATCATCGTGTAGGCAGTTCCTCAGCTTGATAATGAAACCACAAATAAGGGCTGTCAGCTGTAGGAAAGACAGACAAGAGTGAAATAATGCAGGACAAAAAGCGCTTCAGTCCCAAATGGAAACAACCCTGTATATAAGAGATGCCATAAAAATCTGTCAGATTGATGCTCTTTTCCTTTAAGTGGTTCTCTTCTTTTTCCTCGCAGTTGGAGTGAGAAAACCAGCTAACAAGAATCAAAACACTCTTAAAATCTGATTAAGAGCACTGGCTTGACTCATTATGG